GCATTTATGTGAATTGAGACATGATTTTGAGGACAGCGACTACTTCTTCCTTAAATTGTGGATAAATGCTGGGTTTTTTGAATGTCATTCCCTTATCCTTGTGGCTGTATTCTGTCACTGCTATAAAGCCTCTCTGCTCCTGCTTTTTTATTGATTCTTTCCCCATTGGGCTCTTGTTTTGACTGAATCAACAGAGCCGTGTTCTGTTCTCATTCATGATTTGTCTCCAACATGAAGTATGAGGTGTTTGATCATTTTTCTCTCTTCTACTTTTTCTAAGTATTACAGAGATTACTCCTTCAAACTTGTCTGGTCTGACTTCTTTCTTCTGCTCCTTCTCCAGTCTTTCAGGCTCTTTCCTAGTCTTCTGTGCTTTGGGAGACTTCTGTGACTTGAATTGGCACAACTTTGAAAATAAACCCCAAATGCTAGGGCTCAGCCTTTAGCTGTTGGTCTTATTTCATCAGCTTTCCTTTAACTCTTCCCTATAACCTCTTGCTTTGTTGCAGTCTGTCCTATAAGGTTTTTCTTTTTCCTCCAGATCTTTTGCACCACATCCTCTCACCACAGATGACTGCACTGTACTTTCCAGTGCCCCAAATTTTGTTCTCCCTCTAGTTCTCCTTTTTGTAGCCAGCACTCATATGACTTTCATCTCTTATCGCCAGATCCACATTTTTAGCTTCAAATCCAAAACCTATGTGCATGTCTCTTATCTTTTGCCTTGATAAATCCTCCTTCAGCCTCAGCCATCTCCTCTTCTCTGTTCTCCAGGGATTTGGCTGGATTGTCCCCTCAGCCATCGTGGGCTGCAGTGGGGGTGAAGGTGCAGCTCTGTTGTTCTTGATGACACCCTGCAGACTCACACAGGCTGAGCACCTGGCTTCTCACAGGGCATCAGCTCACCACTAACCCTTAGGGTGCCTGTAGCTGAGAAGAATGGCAAATGGATGTGTGCTGCCCTGATTGCAAAGCATTAAATATTGAATGCTGTTATTCAAGATGTGTTTGCAGCCTGCCCAAATGTTAACATACTAAAACACCATTACAGTTGTAGTTGCTATTCTTTCTGAAATATCCAGCACACTGGTAATTTGTAGGTTGGTGATCTCATGTGCTCTTGTACTATTCTTACTGCTCACCATTCCTGATCTTCTCAGATATATATACAGGCTTCCCCATTCAAATTCAATTATTAATCTAGTAAGTGGTAACAAAACAATAGAGCTCACTTACTGAAACTGTGTTGTCATGTAATAGTTATGTCTAGGGAACTGCCTTCTCAGATATAGTGAATATGGTGGCCTACAGCTGTTTTCTCCTGTATCTCTTTCTATAAAGCATTTACGAAAGTCTGTATTGTGATATCCTGCTCTCCTGGCTTTAGAGGAGTCATGAAGTATTTCTCATACTAGTGAGACAAACTGAACTCTGATGTTCCTCACTGTATCTGACTATAGTTTTTACTGGCACCTTCACCACTAATTACACATCTGTATTTCACAGAACATTAGTTAAGCTAAAAATTAAACATAAGTCACAGAGATTGCATTGTGTCCACATTAAGAATTTCTGGAGAGCATTCCATTAAGTTCTCAGTGCACTGTAGCCTTAAGATCTAATCAGTATCCCTCTTTGAATTACATGGAACCCAAATAAGTTGTTATCCTAATCTGTGTATGATCTTAAAATATTTGACTTCCTGTAGCCAAAATCAGCGCCGTGTCAAGCATTCTCATAGCAAAAGTACATTTGCAGAGAAATAAACCAAGTAATGGACCTGACAGGATGAACAACCACTTCCTTTTGCATAGATATTTTGTACATTTAAGACTGCTGTGTGTCTCTGCCAGTAGAAAGTTCAAAATATAGTTTTAATTTTATTCCTTTTTTGTTCTCACAAGAGAATATATGAAAGTGAGATTTGCATTGAAGCAGTGGTAACAATTTTAGCAAAACTTAGGGTTTTGCTTGTGTTGTAACATGGATTCTCACAGTTTTGTCGGCAGTAAACATTGTTGGGGTCTTGGCCTTGAGGTGTGCCTTTGTACTCATTTAGGGTGCCTGAGATAGAAATATTTCGTAAACACAATAAAAGAGAAATACTTCACTGTGTTGTGTTGGAAAATAACTGTGTTTTCAAAGTTTTAATGTTAACATTCTAAACACTGTGTTTACTTAAGTTAATGTCTTTTAAAGTGATTATGCCACTTTGAATTATGCCAGTGCTGTTTTCATAGTTTTTGAAATTGTGGGTTTGTTATGTGTCATAAAGCATATCTTAGTAGTCTTAGTGGGTCTTTGCTGCTTTTTCTCAGCTTGGATATGGCATAATGCCTCACTTGGTTTCCCAAATACTTTGCATGCTTGTGACCTGAGCTGGTTTTTAGATAACAAAATGCTGTAACCTCACATGAAAGGTGAGATGTGTTGTATGCTGTACTTTGTGATCTCTGTGTTCAGTGGCCAGATTGTTTGATTTGAATGTGCCCAGTATTTCACTCTGAAACCCCAGGCCGAGGAAGCCATTGGGAAGCTGTAAAATGCAGCTCTAACTTTCATGAATAATTCTTTCTGAAGTGAATGCTGGCAGTCCTGGAATGGGAGTGCTTCCATAGCAAACATAGCTTATGCAGGATATAAAATCTTGATTAGACTAAATCCATGAGACCGGGCTTATAACTTCACCATGACCTGATCTCGCTGAAGAGTCACACATAGTGTGTTCCTACTTCTCCTGGACTGGATTATTTCTTGGTTAACCCCGCTCCCTACTCCAGCAAAGCTGGAGAGATGGAATCAGCCTTGGCCTCATCTTTGTGTACCACTTTGGGAAACACCTTGCTTTCACTTACTCCTGTATTTGTGGATTATTATCTTGATTTAGGATACGAAAGGAAGGGATACTCATTCCCCCCTTTACCTTTTGAACAGGATGCTTATGATTTACAATTGCGATTGTTACATTAGCAATGTGGTCATGTGTAGAATAGTAAAGTGACTGTCCTTACAACAATTTCCCTTCTATCTCCCTCAGGAAACCAGCAAACAGTACTATACCTTCTGCAAAAATACAGCATTGATTATAAGTGTTCTGGAGCTTGCTCTTGATGTTAGTGATGTCAGTACATCAGGTGGTGTTATAAACAACTAAATTAAATAAAACAAAACGTGGCATATTTTTAGCCTTCTTATTTGTAGAAGGAAAATGTGGATGGAAATCATTCAGCTCAGCCTATGTAGGTGGCTTTGCATTCAGTTTACAAGCCATAATCAAGCCTTATTCAATCCAAGTCTGAGTGGTCTTGAATTGCTTAAACCAATTATTAATTCATATTTTTTGCTTAGAAATCTCATTGTGGCACGTCTTTCTTCTTTTCTTTCCTTGCCTGTACAAAAACAAGTGTATAAGTGTAAGGCTACGTGGAGTCATCAGGCAACAGACATATGCTTTCCCGTGCTCTCCACAGGGCTTGCAGGTTCAAACACAACCTGCCTGAATCATAAGAACTTTAATTGAGTAGATAAAGAGGTCCTCATAATTATAAACTGCAGTAGGTATAACAAGAGGCTAAATACATAGCTGTGGTTTTAATTAGCTGGTGCTTCAAATTAGTAATTGTGGTTTCACTCAGAAATCAGTGACTTTATACACTGTTAAAGCCTCATCACTGTGCAGTTCATTCCTCATTATATCTCTCGGTGTGAAGCTTTCAATACAACATCATGCTGAGCTAAAAAGGCAAAAATTGTAGATATTTGGTTATCTTCCAAGTGCAGTGGAGCTCTTTGGAGATTTAATTCATTCTCATCAGAAATAGGAGAATTAACTGGTTTTTGTTACAGGTGGAATGTGTGTGTTTGTATGTAAGCATCTGTACATACAGGCTGTGTGTGGATGTGTGCATGTAGAGCCAGGATCTGTCAGGGAGATTGTGTCTACTGCAGATAACATCAGGGCATGCACTGAATCTGCTATTCAAATTGTCATCTGGAATTCGGGAGCTAATTAACTGACACAAAGCAGAGTCAAAAGCCTCATAACAAATCAAATGCAGGTTGAAAGCATAAAAGTGTCCCTAAATGCTTGTCACATGAGAGGTTGTAAGTGCAAGTTGAAGTAAGTATCTTTTCCTTTCCTCTTTCCTTTGCTATTTTTCCCTCTCCTTTAGGGTTTTAATTATATCTCTTCCCTCAGAGGAGCAGGAGGTAGTTAGCACAGCCAAGAGACCTAAGTACTTCAGTGTTATTCAGGGGAGAAGTGAATGTGGTCTCTCAGCCTGTCATCTAGGTCTGGCAGGTGCACAAAGCAAGCTGACACCCAAATAAGTGCCACTCACCATTGCTACACTGAGGTGCTAGATCCTTTTCTGTGTTTATATGTAGAATTATCTGATACTGGAGTCAATTATCCTAAAATCTCTTCCAGCAGCCTGCTTCTACAAAACACTCCTTAACCCCTCCTTGACATCTACAATGAAGCCATACATAAATTTTAAAAAGAAGTGGGACAGAATTAGGTGGCCTAAATCACACGAGGCTGAACTGGAGCCTTGGGATGGATGTTTAGGGTAATGGGTTTGTAGATGTTACTGTGCTTCCTTGCCTTCACATTTGCTTTCCCTGCACAGACCCATGTTTTGTGGGCACACATGTGTGCAGTTGTGTGCAGGTCCATGTGTGTTGCAGGCTGTTAGTACAAGGATGTCAAAATGTATTTTATTCTTCTGCATAATACCCTGTTAATTTGTAAACAATATTTTTATTGTTTCATTGAAACACTTTCCATTTTAGAAGTGTTCTGACTTCCCTACTGCCCTGTTTTGCATAGTTTTATAAATCCAAATTTAAATTCCGGGAAACTATTCAGTGGCTGTTTCTTTCAGAGTTATCCTCAGGAGTTGCATTGTTTCTGATGTTTTGTTGCTATTACTGATAGTAATAAATGTGTAACAAAATTATGGGGAAAATAATGTGTTGTCATTTTTGTCTTTCTTCAGTCACTATGAGCAAGACCGGAGTGCACTTAAGCGGAAAGAATGGGAGAGAAGAAACCAGGAAGTCCAGCAAGATGAAGATCCAGGAAGTCCAGCAAGATGAAGATCTCTTTGCTTCAGGTTTTAACCTCTTTGGGGAACCCTACAAGGTAAATTACATTGTTACATTTTGCATTTTCAGAATATCTTACACAAGTACAAATAACTGCCTTGATACTTATGCTCTTGAATACACTGATTATCCAAATCAGTGTATGGCAGTAGAGCAAACTGAATGTGCTGCTCAGGTTGCATTGGCAAAATCAGGACTTTTGGTTACAGTCCAGGTCAAGATTTCTTCCTCTTAAGGGCATTTCTTCCTCTTCAGGGCATGCACTTTGCATGCAGCAAAGTCATGCAGTAGAAGTAATGTGCAGCTGGTATTTCTATAAGTGGGTTTGTACCTACAAAGCTAACACTAAGTTCTTTTATTTTTAGGAATAAAATATATCTGAGTTATTAAATCCAATGTCCTCTCTATAAATAATGAGTCCATAGTCCTTCTTGTGCAATCATAAGCATCCAAAGATGTCTTTTGGGAGACAATCTTTGGGGAGCATAACAAGGATATGAAAGGGACTTTTGTTAGAAGTCTATTCTCTCTGAGGAGCTTTGCTTCCTGAGATTTTCATCACCAAGGGATGTCCCCCTTTATGATTTCTGCTGTTTTGATTTTCAGTACGACATTCCCTGAAGACTTCATCAGAATGTAGATTTCCATATCTCTTTCTCCTCCCAATCAGTGGCATCCATTGAAAGACCACAACTTCATTTTTCCATTTTACTTTGTTAGCAGCTGTAAGGAGGATGAGGGCTCTTTGAAAATCACCCAAAAAGGAGGAGAAAAGACTAACATTATTATCAAATGGTTTCTAATAGTTATAGACTACGAAATTGGGATGGATGCACTCAACTCCTGGCTGTACTTTGGTTCAGGCTGGATGAGGAGCAACAGGCCTTTCTTCATTGGCATGAACTTGCCAGCTGGAAAGTCCCTGGTTCAGGTTCAAGGGAGTGAAGATGTCTTGACAAATATTTCAAAAGGTGGTTTTGAAACCCCAAAGTGGAAGATAACCAAAGTACAGAACAAGATATCAGAGCTAAGTGCAGATGTCTGTCTTGTCTATTCTATTGATTAGCAGCCAAGTACTTTACCCTGTAAATATCACCACTAGGATGAGCCCAGTTTAATCTCTCCCTGAAGTGCAGCTGCACTGCATCCCTCTGCTTGAGCAGGGATGCCTCTCGGGGTAAAGATTCCTCCCTTACCCACGGCTGAGAGATCCCTTACCTGTGACAGATACTTGGTAAATGTCTGATACCATGCTGAATTAATCCTATGGAACATTACTAGTCCACATAGCTACTCAATATTATTACTCAATATTATTGTAAATATTGTATGGATAATTCCATTAGACTAATGTAAGTGGTCATTTCAGGAGGTAGACCAGTAGGCAAAACACTGCAAAATTTTGTGGTAAGAACTAAAATCATACACCACCAATATCTATTGTATGTATAATAAGAATGACAATATCTGATTTTAGATGTATTTTGTGTGTGTATATTTGCACCAAATATACATAGTGCATGTGGTTTCTTTTCAAAAACTGAATGACTGAAAAACAAAAAATTTATCCTGATGGTCTTTCTGGGCAAATATTTTATTTAGTTGCTTTTTACTTAGCAAAGAAGTTTGTAAACTTTATGTAATTAAGCAAAATACAATACAATACAGCCCTAAAAAACATTTTATAAATTGTGAAAGATAAAAATTGAGAGGAAATTGCATGCAAAAGTAGTTAAATAGTAGTTGAATCAGTCTTAAATTTGAAAGAAACAGGTTTAGCAAAACTAAATAGGAAAGCTAGGTCTTGCCTTTGGTTTACACTAGGAGAAAAAAAGGATAAAGTCATAGACCACTGTTTCCTTTTTAAGTTCTGCATTGCTAAGACCCAGCTACAGTAGAGTTTCCTGATAAAACTAATAAAAGCTGAATCTCACTCTTAGTGGATATGTAGTGAGTTTTATTCTTAAGTAAGCGCAAAATTAAATTCAGGGTTTGTTTGCAAAACATATTCAACATAATTTCACAGAATGAATAGATCGGAAGAGACCTCCAAGATCATCAAGTCCAACCCATGTCCCAACACCACAACTAGATCATGGCACCAAGTGATTTTAAACACATCCAGGGATGGTGACTCAACCACCTCCCCCAGCAGACTATTCCAGTACTTTAACACTCTTTCCGTGAAAAACTTTTTCCTAATGTCCAACCTGTATTTCCCTTGGTGCAGCTTGAGACTGTGTCCTCTGGTTCTGTCAGTTGTTTCCTGGGAGAAAAGTCTGACCCCCACAATAGTACAAACACCTTTCAGGAAGTTTAGAGAGTGATAAGGTCACCTCTGAGTCTCCTTTTCTCCAGGCTAAACAACCCCAGCTCCCTCAGCCTTTCCTCACAGGGTTTGTGTTCCCAGCCCCTCACCAGCCTCATTGCCTCCTCTGGACACGCTGAAGTGTCTCAATGTCCTTCCCAAACTGAGGGGCCCAGAACTGGACTCAGCACTCGAGGTTCAGCCTCACCAGTGCCGAGTACAGGGGGAGAATGATCTCCCTGCTCCTGCTGGCCACACCATTCCTGATCCAGGCCAGGGGCCATTGGCCTTCTTGGCCACCAGGGCACTGCTGGCCCGTGTTCAGCTGCTGTCACCAGCACCCCCAGGTCCCTTTCTGCCTGGGCACTGTCCAGCCACACCATCCCCAGCCTGTAGCACTGCAGGGGATTATTGTGGCCAAAATGCAGGACCCAGCACTTGGACTTATTAAACTTTATCCCATCAGACTCTGCCCATCCATCCAACCATTACTGGTCTCTCTGCAGACCCCTGCTGCTTTCCAGTAGATCAACACGCTCTCCCAGCTTAGTGTCATCTGCAAATTCACTAATGAAGGACTCAATACCCTCATCCATGTCATCAATAAAAATATTGAACAGAACTGGCCCCAGCACAGACCCCTGAGGGACACCACTGGTGACTGGCTGCCAGCTGGATGCAGCACCATTCACCACCACTCTCTGGCCATCCAGCTGGTTCCTAACCCAGCACAGAGTGCTCCTGTCCAAGCCATGGGCTGCCAGCTTTTCCAGGAGTGTGCTGTGGGAGACAGTGTCAAAGGCCTTGCTGAAGTCCAAATAGACAACATCCACAGCCTTTCCTGCATCCACCAGGCGGGTCACCTGGTCATAAAAGGTTGGTCAAACATGACCTACCCCTCCTAAACCCATGCTGGCTGGGTCTGATACCCTGGCCATCCTGTAAGTGCTGCATGCTGGCACTCAATACAAACTGCTCCTTTACCTTACCAGGTACTGAGGTCAGGCTGACTGGTCTGTAATTACTAGGATCCTCCTTCCACCCTTTTTGTGAATAGGTGTCACATTGGCCAGCTTCCAGTCATCTGGAACCTCCCCAGTGAGCCAGGAGTGTCCATAAGTGATGGAGAGCGGCTTGGCAAGCTCATCTGCCAGCTCCCTCATCACCCTAGGATGGATCCCACCTGGGCCCATCTTGGATTTATGAATATCCAGAGAGTCTCAGCAGTTCTCTGACTGCCTCCTCCTGGATAACAGGGGGACCATTCTGCTTCCTGACACCATCTACCAACCCAAGAGGACAGTTGTCCTGAGGACAAGCCATCTTCCCACTAAAGTCTGAGGCAAAGAAGGCGTTGAGCCCTTCCGCCTTCTCCTCATCTGCAGTTACTAAGTTCCCTCCCTCACTGAATAAAGAACAAAGGCTGCTCTTACCCTTCCTTTTACCATTAATATATTTGTAAAAGCATTTTCTATTATCCTTAACAAAAGTTGCCAATATAAGTTCAAACTGAGCTTTGGCCTCGCTAATTTTTTCCTACATGCCCTAGCAACCCCCTTGAATACTTAAAACATAGTTTAAAGCCCTCTCTGAGTTCTACCAGTTCAAGAGCTAAAATCCTTCTGCCCTTAACAGAGAGGTGCAGCCCATCCAGTTCCAGCAGAACGAAATTCTGCCAATGACACCAACCCCTGAGCCACTTGTTGAAACTGTGGGCTCTCCTGTTCCTTTCAGTGTTTTTCTCAGTCACCAAAGGGACTGAGCAGAACACTACCTGTGCTCCAGCCTTATCAACCACTTGACCCAGTGCCCTACTGTCCTTTGTTATTGCCCTGACACTCCTCTTTTCAATCTCGTCACTGCCAGCCTGGAGCATCAGCAGTGGGTAATAATCACAGGGCTGAATCAGCCCAGGGAGTCTTTCAGTGATATCCCGTACCCAGGCCCCAGAGAGGCAGCAGACCTCCCTGTGGGATGGGGCTGGTTGACATATGGGGCCCTGTACTCCCTTCAGAAGGGACTCACCCACTACAACCACCCTGCTTTTCTTTTTGATGTCAGAGGTGGTGATCCATCCTACAGATGAAGCATTATTGAGAGGCCCACTGGGCAGATAATTTTCTTCTAAATCATCTGGCTGACCCTCTAGATCCAGGGTCTCATACCTCTTCTGAAGTGGCACCTGGGTAGGGGATGGGGGTTGGGAGGAATTTTTATTATTATTACCTCCCGGAGCAGGGACCCATTTCCACTCCCCTTCATCAACCAGGTGTCCTCTGATTCCTGGTGGGCCTCTGTCAAGGATGGAAGGGCAGAACTCCACCAGTCTATTTTCCTTTTACTTTCCCTAATACTCCTTAGTCTTTCAACTTCCTCCCTAAGCTTGGCCACCAGCGAAAGGAGATCGTTCAGCTGCTCACACCACAGGCAGGCTTCTTCTGCAATGGCCTCTGGAACCACTGATAAGCTCAAACACTCTGCACAGGAATGGGTCTGGACAGACACATTTTATTCTAAAACAAAATGAAGAGATCCTGACATGAGAACAAATATCCTGCAGGTGCACTTTGAATTTCTTCTCTATTTTGAGATGACCAGATGCTTCTGTGTTCGTGAGACTCAAGGCCTTGCACACACAGGAAGCTGCACGTGTCTCTTCTGGTCACACTCAGTGGGAGCAGAGGCAGATAAAACAGTGCCAGCAATGTGTTGTGACCTGTGGTGGGAACAAAGTCCACATCCTCACTTATCTGTCTGTGCTGATGAGCATCAGCTCATGGTACAATTGGTACTTTTCTGAAGGATCTGGGGGTGGGAGCCAACATGGAGACTACAGTGACAAAGAGAAGGTTGGGAATAGCAGGTCTCAGGAAACAGGAAACATCTCTTTTCCTTTCTTTTATTCCAAGACCTAGTGTCCTTACTTGTTTATAATTTCTTCCTCATTTGCTTCAACAGTATCCAGAGGGGGAACTGTCAGTGTAGGGCATACCACCCCTGCTGTTTCTGAAATTTTAAGGACTGAACAACTGGCAGCTGTTTAAGACAGCACTAAGAATTTGAGGATATTAAAAGTTGCACAGAGAAAGGAGCTCAGATTTTCTCATGGAGCCTACTGCCATTGTGTATCATGAGATGTATGGAGTATCTGCCTTCATCTCTCAGCTCTAGCTGTCAAAGCCTCTTTCTTTCCCGCTGCCAAATAAAACACAGGTGTTCATTATAGTTTTGGACAAATGCGTATTTCTACATTGATTCTTTGCAGTTTATGTATGTGTGCACTTACATGAAAAGAGATACTTATTTCTGTGGGTGTATAAAATACATTTTTCCATGCTTGTTAAATGTCTCCTTTTGAAGCTCCACTGTCTCATATGGGAAAACAACACCTTTGACAATGTGATGACATCCAGCATTATTCTGGGAAGGTCAGGCAGTAAGGGTTGTGTTGTTCTTTAATGCAAGTGGGCTCCAGGTCCTGCCTTCGAACCCTGGTGCAACCTGCTCACACTTGATTTTGTGGAAGGGATCAGAGAAGGGCCTGGAGTGTAACAGCAACAGACATCTGAAAAAGCAATGTTGGAGTTTTCCTGAGAGAAGCTGTAATTTCACTGCTGAATTGTTGATACCTTTTAATGTTTTGAATTACACAGAGATGAGGATTTTAAAAGAAAACGGTAGGAGTATTTTTGTTACTTTTCAAAGGAATTGCCTCAGGAGAGTTCAGCTTGAGAAAGAGAGCCCAATGGGCAGTATTTCCATTGTGGAGCTCTTGGTGAACATTAAATCATTTATCTTTCTCAGGTAAAACCCCTCCATGCTTTTCAAGCTTAGCATAAAAAGGATCTCAGCTTCTAATCTGTGGAGGTTAGTTAAACTATGAGGCATAAGGAAGTGAATGAATTATGAAACTTCAAGTTTCACACAAATTTTCACAAAACACTTATAAATGGGGCCTCTAAGTTTGAGTGCATTAGTTCTTTTCTTTGTAAAACTATAATGCAATACCTAGCTAGCAAATTAGTCTTCCAGTAGGATTCTATTACAGATATTTCTGAAAGAAATAGAAGCAAATGCAGGAAGATGTACATTTCCTAAATTAACAGAAGCCTAGAATGAAGGGGAATGCTACTAGCCATGAATCGTAAACCAGGCATATCGTTTATGCCTTGGAATATTCAAAATGCAGCATTTCCTTGATAGCAACAAAACTTTGATTCAGCATGCTGTTCAAAAAATAACATGTACAGAGGTTTTCTTCAAGAAATCAGCCAATTATCCAGCATATGAAAGTAGAAATTGTCCATAGTCTGGAAGTAACAAAGAGCAAGCAGAAATTTTGACTGGATTTTGTGTTTCTCTTCCTGGTATCCAGGCTTGTCAAGAATCTGGTGTGTCTTGTGAGAGCCCTGAATTTGTTGTGGGAGTAAAATAAAAACATTAATGTTATGCCTTATGTCTTAAATGCAGATAGAGCACTGTGCTACATTCCTGAGCTTGTTCAGATTTTGATGTGATGTCTAAGTCTGATCTTAGTTGTGTGTGTTCTAATTTTATTTAAGTGTAAGCCAAATTACCATTAATCATCGTTTTTTTGCTTTGCAGTCTTGTCCAAAGGTCACTGAAGAGAGTAATTATCCTTCCATTGACTTCAGTAACCATTGGATGAGCTTTAGTGTACTTAAAGTACACTAAGGATGTTTAAAATAATTTAAATATAAATATATTAATAGTAAATATATTTTTATTAATGTTCCCTGCAAAAGACTATTAATAATAATAATAATATTAATAATACCTAACCTTTATACAATGTCTTTTATCCCCAGGATGTGAACACTAGGCATAAAATAGAGTTAATATCAAGCAAAGTTATATTTATCATCATGTGACATGTAAAAAAAATAATACATTGAGAGAATTAGGTACCTCCAACATAAAATTATTGAAAAGATCTACTTTCAAGTATAAACATTTTCTCTGTGAGGATGTAGACAAGAGCCATTTCGTGTGCTGGGATGCTGAAGTGTTACGGTTATGATATGTAGTCAGTTCGTTTTTCTTTTTTTAACTTGTGCTTTCTGGAAAGTAAGCTAAATGCTCCCTGGAAGTGTAGCTGAACCGCAGAGGTGAAGGTTGGTAGTCAGGCTTTTTTTGATACTGTTATTTCCCATGTTCTATCCCATAAGGAGTTAAAGTGTTTGGCCAAGGAGGAAACAGAACAAGTATGTAAGTGTTTAGACTTAGAATCACAGTTCCTGCTGGGCTCTTAAGCACAATGGAATCTCCTTGTTTTAAATTTGGGGATTGAACAGAGAAAGCCTGGTTTTGGCTGCTGCCCAAGCAGCTCATTGTGCAACTCAGTTGAAGGAGACTGCTCATATACAAAGAGCTTATTCTTAGTTTAGTTAGAATATAATTTTTGCCACTAAAATGACCAACCTAGGGACTGACTTTGTGAATTAAAGTGATTTGCGGTTCTCCACAAGTGGGATTATTAACTGTGTCAGTTAGGAGCACTGGCAAAATGTATAGAGATGGGAACAACATTGAGCAGTTAATTTTTAAATCACTGACTCAGTGCAGTACTAATATATGTTACAATTTCTGAGAATAAAAAAAAGGAAATTTGCATTTATTATCTTCTTTTTTTAAACATTTTTATGGTGTGTTCAGTACTCTTCTTATCCTCTGACTGGTTCAGCAGTGGCTAATATAAGTAGATATTTCAGGAGAAATCCATGCATGAATGTTTTTCATCACTCAAACTTCTCTTTAATAGTTGAGGAAAATGAGATCGGGGCATAGTAGGATCCCTCACCAAAGAATTGTGACACTCTCTAACCAGGCACAAGCTCCTACTGCTGATTTTCCCCATCTTTATGGCCTGGTGTTAAGGTGCCATTGGACTGTGGCACTACTTGTTTTATGGAGTGAAAAAGCCCCTCTAAACTGAGGTAGAGTTGGCTGTATCATGACATAACTTTTGTATTATTTCCAGACTGTAGAAGTGAACCATCTGCCTGTAGAGCACTGTAGTTCGGCTTTGTTTTTATCCTTTGAGTCTTGTAAAGCCATGAGCACGGGGAATAAGATGTTTTAGTTCTCTGCTGGTCACTTCAATGGAACAGAAAGGTCACTAGGAAGGCTACTGCTTTGCATCTCTGTGGGGTGAGCTAGAACAGGAAGAGAGAGGAAATCAGCTGTGTATTAATTATAGCTTCCAGCTTATTTTGTCCAGCTTTTTACAAGTGAAAGGGAAAAGGAAAAAGACACTTCATGCTTCAAAAGGAAAACTATAATAGCAGTGAAACAAAGATGACTCAGTATTTATTTAATATTTACTGGAAATTAAAGAAAATCAGGATTAAGAAATACAACCATCCTGCAGACAGTGGAAGAATCCCAGTGCTTAAGAATGTGGCAATCATGTCTGTTTATGTTCTATTAGAAAATATTTTTGAAGGATCTTTCAGTTGAACGTACCATTGCATGTGGGAGAAGCTTTTACTTCTCTGGATTCAGATGGTAGATACTTCAGGTCAAACTGTACTTTCTATGGAAGAGTAATTGAAGTTAAATTGGAGTGAAGAGTTTGGTGCTATTACAGACTACCCATCTTCTACTCGTGGCAGGACTGTGGGTCAAGGAGCTGACAGAGCAATAACATACTTATATCAACTGTGTGATTACAATCCAAGTGCTCAGTAGCCAGTAATTGTATGTTCGTGTTTTGCACCATATGAAATGTACAAGCCCAATGTCTCTGAATAAACCCAGCCTATTTTGTGCCTAACATCCATAACTGATGCAATTTAAACACTTCTCTGAGAACATATTTAAGAAAATGGGAAGCAGTAGACGAATGTTACTGATGCAAGCCTGTTTCAAGAGATTCTTTGAACACAGTTATTGATAGATTTTTCTTACATAACATGCAAAATGTAATTGAAATTTAATTAAATGTCAGCATGACACCATTAAACAGCTAACATTTGCCATCTTCTAAGACAACTATTCTGAACAGTAACTTGTATATCAGAAATTTACTCACACTTTTCTTGTGTGGTTTTTTGTTTTTTTTTTTTTAGACAAATAAAGGCGATGCCCTTGCAAACCGTGTCCAGAACACATTGGGAAATTATGATGAGATGAAGGATCTGTTAACCAACCACTCCAACCAGAGCCACCTTGTAGGAATCCCAAAGAATTCTGTCCCACAGACACCCATTGACAAAAATGAACAGAACTTTTTCCCAGAACCAAGGAACAGGATGATCCCATCTCATCAGATCAGCGGCAACTCATCAACATCAATGCCTCCACCTTCTTCATTGTCATCTAACTCTACTTTGCTACACAGCCACCAGAGCAGCAGGAAGTCGAGGACAGATTGGTCACGCAGTGGTCACAACCCCAGTGGGGCCCAACCAAGTCAATCCAGTGGCCAGCAGAGTCGGACAAAGCACAGCTCTTCTCATGACCAGTCACAGGGCAGGTATGAAGATCTCTATAATTGCCAGAGTGAGCAGCATAAAAGTGGGGGAACTGAGGAAGCAAACGCTATGGCAACATCTTCACATTCGAGGAGGCACACTCATGCAAAGTCAGCTCCTGGAGAACACACTTATAAAGAAAACAGTCATTCAAAGTCACCCACAGAGCTTGAGTTTGTAGGCCATGGTCCTGGATCTCCACTTCCTTCCACTTCTTTGTTAACTGCAAACAATGGTCTTTCGACTCAGAATTTCCCACCAGGACTTCACTGCAAGAACAGCATGGTCCAGCAGAAGCCTACGGCTTACGTCAGGCCTATGGATGGTCAGGACCAGGTACCCAATGACTCACCCGAACTGAAACCCCCAATAGAAATTGAGAGTGGATATGGAAATCAGTCTTTTGGAACTCTGCTGGAAGGAAAAGTGAACACACCTAGTTCGAAGAACAAAGTACCAAAGCTCAACATTCCTCCTGTTAGTGAAGTAAGTGGTTTAAAATATCTTCTCTCTAGTACTGCTTGAGAATTACATTCACTAAATATTTTTCTCTGGAAATATGCAGTTGCATTTACTGGAATTACAGTGTAAAACATTCCTTTTTCTAGAGTGTGCATGACTTCTTTCAGCAGTTTGTTGTGATAGTAGTCCCAGTAGCAATATTTAATGTAGTTTTTAAAGCACAGTTTGGAATGCTAACATTTCTTGTTTATGATTAATATTAAAAGGCTGGATCTCTGTTGGGTGTAATTTATGTATACCAGCTATACCAGTTCTGGACGGGGAAATCTAATATCTCAGTTCATCTGCAATTTTCACTCTTGAATTCTCAGTTAGTAGGTAGTTTGATAGATAGATTGCTGTTTTAAACTCTAAGGAAAAATGGCAATGTTCAAATTTCAGTGGTACTGAACAGTCCTGCCAGTAAGGAGTTTATTTGCAGAGTTTGCTAAATTCTGTTTCTTCTTTTTATTTGAACTAATGTGACTTAAGTTGTGAATAATGCTTATGAAAATGTGTCCCATTGAAGCTTTTATTCATTTTGAAGAGCTCTTAATACTGGGATTCAGTCCCAATCTCTGCAACCAGCAGTTTAAGCTGTTGAATTTTGTATTGCTGGTCAGAACAGTAGTCCTGTGAGGAACATTTTAGTTGGTTCATATTCGTGTCCATTCCAAGCACAAATGTATAATAAAGATATGGATTGAACTATTTATACTCTGTATATATTTTCTCCTAGTCTGATTTTTTCTAAACCAGTAACCTTTGGAAGGTAGGTGTACAGTGTACATATGAGCAGAATTGCGAGATGAGTTTTTCATAGCTTTCTGTTTTCCCAAAAATATTTCCCTGCTTGGTAATATTTTTATGCTAGGAATGAGGAGTGATGCATTCTTAAACCACTTTATTGCAAAAGGTCAGCTTTTTCTATTGGAATGATTGTTTCAAGCCAATAATTTGTTTGACTATTTAAAAACTTGATGTTATTTATTAACATTCCAGGCAGCAACAAAGACTGATGTGTTTTGCAGTAGAGCTTGGAATAATTCTCTGGGAACTGCATCTGAAAACAGTAAAAGGCCTATTTATATCAAGTGGAAGCTGAGGGTTGCTTGCAGATGGTGTTTTATTAGAAAATGTATTTGTTAATAAACGTAGCTTTCTGCAAGATTACTTTACAGATGTTTCTGTTTATTTTTACCTTGGGTTAAAAATCTGCTAGTGTAGATGATTTCAGAGTCTGCTGCGATTTGTCGCTAGCATTGTTTGGCAAGTAAATAATTGCATGCAAAGGAAATAATGATGTTGCAAAAACAAATACATTTTTTCGCTCTTGCCATCTATTAATGATATGAGTCAATAGAAGCACTTTAAAGTGCAGCATTCATGCATAGTATCTTTGGAAATAAAATGTACCTTTTGCAATTTGTGTCAACTATCAAGAATAGAATATTAAGGATGCATTTTTAATTTCTGTGCTTTTTAAGTGAAATCCTGGCACTATGAAATTGATTGAGTTGTTAACAATATTTTTTGGGTTCACAACTTCACCCACATTCTTCTTGCATAGCTATAGGAACCTCTGATATGAACTGTTGTTTTTGGAAACATTCCTAGTTGCAAAGATGAAAAATTGCATTGTGGATTTGTTGCTACTTATATCTCCTCTGTAGTGAAAAGTATAGATGCTTAATTAATTTCATGTATGTTTAGATAAATGGTAAACTAGGAAATTTAGAAATGAAAGTAGATAATAATGTTAAAGCAGTCTGCACTTTGAGAGTGAATGGTAAGTTAAAGAGGGAAAGAAAACCCAAAGCTTTGACAAAATAACTTTCCTTTTTGAGACAGAACACAGGATAATGACTTGACTGATGGATCTTTTACAGGCAAATCTCCTCCTGAGTTTGGAGGGTTGGATTTTTTTGCCTGTGTCAGGACTGTGAACTTTGGCCCTCTGTGTTTTTCCACAGATGTGTATCCTGAATTTGATTTAGCTTGTGTTTGGCTATAAAACTCCTTCCAATCCAACATTATAGATAACTGGTTTAGTTTAAGCTTAATCAGAACAGACAGTGCACACCTGTGAAACCCATAACCTTTTCAGAATGACTGCAGTGAGTAGCTCTGTTGTAATCTTTCTACAATTGATGTGAAGGCATATGATCCTTTGGTGGTGCTTATCAATTTATGAACCTTCCCAAGCCACCTTGAGCCATAGTGATCTGTTTGAAACAATTTTGTTCCTACTCTACAGGTTTCCATTTCAACAGTGTTCCAGGTGATGGTGGTGATCTTCAAGCTAGCAATAGGAGAGTTACTGTTTTGGGGCATTTCTTCATAATTTTTTTTGTGGTTTTCCTGTATATCTGGGTCCATTTTTTCAAGTTGCTGTGTGTATGCAGATAGAATGCAAACCAAAATGTTTTCAGTGAGTGTTGAAAAAGAAAAAGAATGTTCTTGCTATCTTACAGAGAGAGAGGGGAATAAGTAACAAAATATTTGAACAAGCAGATTTAAAAGAAGTGCTCAGACTGATGTGGAAATATGGTGTTATTTATCATGGCTTAATGGAATAACATGTTGAATGCCCTGGAAGCATTCTGCCATGTGTAAGGAAGTGATCAATTTTATAACATAATTTGTGTCACTTGAGGTGTTGCTCTAAGAATCTTTGCTCATTTGCTGGGCCAAATTCTGCCATCAAAGATGCCCATCCATCTTGCAGCTCCTCTGGAGCAGACAGCATTGTTAATGCCTCACTGCTGGTGTGTCTCTGCTGAGCAAGGGATCATGGGCTAGTGATTTCCAAGGTCATAGAGATTCACAGTGAGTTCACACAGACTCACCAGGTTGGGTCAGGAGGTAGAGTTAGCACCTCTCACACACCTGTGGACTAATCTTTGCCTCTGAGTGGGTGCTGCTGCGTGATTTCCAGACCTTGGCTCGCTCACACAAAGCTAGTTCAGACTACACCATGAGTGGCCATTTCTGGTAGAGAAATAGAAAAAGCCTCTGTAAACTTATCGTTATGTCATGGAAGGGTTTCTTTGTGATTTTGTGATCCTACTGATTTCTTTTTACCTTTTTGCTATATTTTTCATATCAGTATTGTTTTCTAAGGGTGAAGGTGAAACCTTTTATAGTTTGATGCCTAGCCAGGCCTGGTAGCCCCTGAGGTTCAGAAGTTGTAGAGCAGATCTTCATGAACTGGGAAGCCATGGGGCCATCATGTGAGTTCCTGGGGCACATGCAGAAATCCACCAGATCTCACGACATAGCGTTGATAGCAATGGCCTTGGAGCTAAAACTGGGAGAGAAAATGATAGAAAGCCTCAACCTGTAAACATTATTTCTTATTCCTTTCCTGTTAACTCTTGTCTCTTTAGTATGTATTTACATGCATACTTACATGCTCATGCATATATATTAATTTTGAGCTTGCATTTAACATTTGATAAATTGTAGCAAGTCAGAAATATTGCAAAGTGCTTTTGTATTATGCAGAATTCCACCTACTTAAATCCTATGAAATGGCAGATGATTGTTACTTACCACTTGAAGAGAGCTGCGTGTGTAAATCCTATGCATTTCTTAAAAAAAGTAGATGTTAGAGACCACAATAACAGCTGATCCTCTCTCTGCTGCTTTAAAATCCAGAATCTTAATATATGTATGCATATTTAAACCTCTAGGAATCAGATGCTTACAAATTATTTCAAATTGACTAACACAGCAGGTGATAGCTGAAAGAAAGCCTGTACTTTTCAGATTGGGCTCAAGCACAAATTACTGAGAGCACTGAGCAAAGCAGAGGGTTTTAAGGTCTGTGGGAAGATCAGAAGCTGCATTCCTGGAAAACTTTATGCCCAGTTCCCTAGAACAACACATGGATTTCCAATAAATATTTAGGGATGGGGAATCAAGAGCAATGGAGATATTTTTTGATTCTCAAGGCAGAGTTTTTAAATCTCACTACAGAATTGGCTTCATGTTCCTGCAAAGTTGCAAATGCTCATGTACGAAATTTTCCCAAAAATACAAAGTTAGAAACAAATCCAAAGGGCCTACGACATCTATGTCACCACCCACTTAAGGAATAAAAAATGGAGAACTTCTATTTTCACTTTACTTCTAGGAAAATATTTTGACGGGTTCAGTATACTGCAAAGTGATAAGCTTCTGTTACGTGTTTCAAATCATTCTGTTATCACTGCATGTATTGATTTGCTTAGTGCTTTCTGAGCTAGCCATAAAAAAAGGCTGTTCTCCTTCTGCATTAAAGAGTAAGAAAAATTGACAGGTAGATAACCATATTGATTCAACCTAAATAGTAAATGCAAGAGGCTTATATATGAATTATAAAACTCTCTGTAGGAACCAAACAGTCTTTTTTTACCCCTTTTTGATATACATGCTACTCTACTTGCCAACTGTAGTACATGTAGTTCTGGACAAATCACTTTTTTCAAATGCCAGCTTTAGCTGTCCCCCCAACTTCGAGCTTGGAAGAAGAATGGACTGAATCACGCATTAAGAAGAAATCCCTTTGCTTGGCTCATATTTCAAAAGTCTGAGGCCAAAAAAAAACCCCAAAGAGCAGTGTTTCTTGCAGTATTAGAGGTTACAGACATATGTTTTTAATTTGTAAATACTGTGAGAAGTAATGTTCTTATGATACTTCTAAATGAAGACCATATGACACCATGTTATTGTGGCCTTTTGGAGGCTACTGTCCGATAGCCTGGACAATGGCTAGCAAAGCTGTTTTGCTGGAATAGCAAGAGGACAGCTTGTCTATTTTAAATCAAACACAGATAAGCATATTTAGGGTCTGATTTTGAACCACTGTGACCAGTGGGAAGTCTGCATTTCAGAACAGGGCACTTAAAGTTGCTTGAATAAGTGTGGCTAAAAGAACTGACATTGTGTATTTGGTTTGGGGAAAGAGGGGTTAGGTTTCTTCTTTCCCATTGTTCGTTCAT